TTTTTTGAAAGGCTTCTAAGCCAGTGCTCTAATAGTATTGGTCTTGGTTTCTTGATGGACTACCTTACGTTTTTTTTTTCACTTGGCATGTTTATCAACTTCTATAGTATCTGATTTATGATATCTATTGAAATATTTTTTTCATAAAGTGTGACTGGTAAAGTCTTTACCATACTCAAAACATTTACATATCTTGGAAGATGGAGGTTGTTTAGGCAAAGGTTGTTTATTCTTTGGCTTATCCTATTTCTTGTCTCCTTGGTGTCTTCCTTTTTTTGGATGACGTTTTTTCTTCTTTTTAGAGAAACTTAGATCAAGTGGAAAAGAGAAGACTTGTCATTTAAAGTTACTAAAGCAAATAGAAGAAGCCCTGCCTATCCATTTGGCAAAGAGCTCTTTTACTTAATCCAGCTATTTTGCAGGTCCAAAGTACTTGAATATAATATTATAGGGAAAGTTATCTCTATAGAGAAGTTCACCATATTGTGTTTGGTCTTTAAAACTACTATCTCTAGTTGTTTACTTTTTTCCTTGGGAAAATTTCCTTATAAAGAAATTTTTAAGAAAAAAAGGGGTTATGAGAAAGAGTTTTTTTTTTTTTAAAAAAAAAAAACTAATATATTTCATATTAATAATTATTTTTAATAAATATTATACTATTCAAAAATTTAAGGTTAAACAAAATAAATAATTTTTTTTGAAAAACTATAAAAATAAAAGCTTTAAGAAAATTTAACAATTGATAAAAAAAAATAAATTTTATAAAATTTATTTCAATAATAAAAAAAGATTTTTAGATATTTTATAGTTGATTTTTTTCTTTTCTTTTCTTTTTTTTTTTAAACCACAACTGGTATTACTTTATTTAAGAATTAACTTAATTTGACAGATAATTAAATCCTATAGCAGTTACATCAATTATCTTTTATAAACCATATATTTCTATATCTATGTAGCTTAATGATAACCTATCGTGATTTGTCCTAGATAGACCTGCAACTACTCTATGAGTGGCAGACCTAACTAGGGACCAGATGGTTAATACACAGTCATCAATGGCTAGTCTAGGCTAGTTAGTATTGAGCTTTACAAATTTTTATTGTTTCATTAAGCTAGTCTATAGTTTGTGTATACCCGACGGGATATATAACACCCTTCAATATTCCCTATATATTATTTGCTCAGACCTCGAAAGGAAGTACTTTCCTTCTTTATCACCACCTATGGCATTGGATCAGCCCCTATTGACTAATTTTCAATTAAGCGGAGCACCAGATTGGAATATCATGAGCTAGGAGAGTAGGGGTCTTGGAGATTGCCAGGTCAAAGTGGGCTTGGAGCATTTTTGTAAGAGACTAGACCAGAAGTCTTTCTTCATGCAATCCTTCTGGTAGTATGCCTATAGATCTCAGTCTCTGATCGACGGAAGGTCAGAAGTCCCATCTTCATACAGCCTAACTTGCTTAGAACTTGTTCCGGATAATTAGGTATGACTTTCACAGGATAACTGGTCAAACCTAATCAGAAGGATAATTTTTGAGTTTGGTCCTTAAGTGGTATTGAACTACAGATCTTGTGATTGCGAACTGGGAGCACTACTACTGTGTTATTGATCCACAGGTCTATAGTTGATTTTTTTCTTTAAATATTTTTTTGTTATTGATATTAAAAATATTACTTAATTTTTTATTCATTATTAGAAATTAAGTTTTTGATTAAAGAGATTTGCAAATAAAAAGAAAGATATAATAGTAGTTCTTGAAGCTACTTTTTAAGTTGTTTTAATAATAATAGTAAGATTTTATTAATCAAGAAATTTAAAAACTTTTGATAATATTTTTTATATATATTTAAAGAATTAATAGAAAAAGTTTTTCATAATTATTAATACTTTCTATAGTATAATATAAAATATAATAAATTATGACCTATGAATCCATAATATAGTAATAATATTTCCAGATTACAATCATAAGATCCAAAGTTAAATATCATATGAAGGTCAAGTGAAAAATATTATCACAATAAAATTTAATACTCTATTGGATAACAATAAAATGTTATTAGGTATAGTTTTAGTTATTTTACTGAATAACTGAAATAAAAGAAACTATTATTATATATTGTCTTCTATAATTGATCTTTATCAAATCAAGTTGATCTACAGGTATTATGAGATGATTAGTATTTTATTAATATTCTGATAAAGAAAAAAAAGATAAGTATTGAATAATATAATATTTATTAAAGATAATTAATTAATATAAAACATATTAGTTTTTAGAATATAAATAACTTTTTATTAATTACAATCATGTATCTTAATAATAATAATAATAATAAATTTTATAAAAATATATTTTTTTAATTAAACAAGTTTTTAAGAAAGACAATTATAATATTAAAAAATAAATAAAAAATATATAGTATAACATGATATTTATTTTATTTTTTTTTTTTTTGAACCCACAATTATGTTATAATGGCTTGTCTTTATTGAAAAATTAAAGTAAATCTATAATATTTTACAAACTTTCATAAAATAACTAATTCATCTTCATATAAAAGTACTGTAAGTCAGATTTTGAGAACAATATTATACTTCTCTAATAGATTAGTAATAATCTCTATCTATCAGGATTATTGCCAACAGTTTGTCATTATTGATTACCTGAAAATTAATAAATTGCTAAATTAAAAAAGAAAAAGGAGAAAAATGATTGGGGAAAGGTAACAATTCAAGATTCACCAAAAAATCTAAAAATAAAAAACAACCTCTTCTCAAAAGGGATCTGCCTGATTGGGATAGTCTTTTTGCTTCACTTGAACCTTAGAAGAAATCATCTTTTTTATCACCTGCAGCATCAGACGAGTCAATCCAACTGGTCTTTTATTTAAGTGAGTATCAGATTGGAATATCTCAAGAAAAGTATTTAGATCTTTGCTTTTTTTCATTAAGCTTTGTTACCACTTGAAGAACTTAGATAAGAGATGGAGGTTTACAATCCACATTATTTATCACTTGGTTTTTTGATATTATGAAAGTTTTTATTAAGTGACTTAAGCTTTTAAGAACAAACATTTATGAAATCTTCTTTTCAATCACCAATGATGTCATCAGAACATGTGAATATGACCAATAGGAGCTTGTTTACATTTCAAAAACTAACGTATTTTGTGTTAGTCAATCACTTTTAGTGAGAATTTGTACTACCCAAAATTTAGGGTCAAACTGAGGTAAATAAAATTCCTTAGAAAATCATAAAAGTAATAGCTTTAAGAGGTCCACAAGTGATTGGAAGGGCTCTTCTGTCATTAAAAATCTCTATATACCTCTTACTTTAAAGGTTAGATAGGCCTTTAGATACTTTATAGTCAGTTTTTCTTCCTTTGGAAACTTTCTTATCATTGATATTAAAGGTGTTACTTGATTTTTTTTGATTACTAGAAGTCAAATTTTTGAGTAAAAAGGTTTGTAAACAAAAGAAAAAGAGTAATAATGACTCTTGAAGTCATACTTCAAGTTGTTTTAAAGGAAACATTAAAACTTTATTAGCAAAGGAGTATAAAAACTTCTTGCGAGTATCTTTTTTATATATGATTAGAAGATCCGCAAAAAGAGTTTTTAATACATTAGTATAATATGATATTTATATTTCTTAATAAATTCTTTAGATAATAGAAAAAAATTAAGATTTTTAATAAAATTAAAGATTATTGATATTACTATTTTAATTAGGTTATAAGTTCAAGTCTTATAATTAAAGAGTATAAAAAAAGACTTTTTATTTTAAGAACTTAATATAATAAGTTTCTCAAATAATATATGGTTTTAATGATTAATAAAAAAATTCTTCAAATAATTTAAAGCTAAAAAGATATTTTAATTAAGTAAATCTCTTTTTGAAAGAATATTATTTACTTAATTAAAAATCTTTTGATGTGATTTTGAATTATTTTCTTTTCCCTTTTTCAGTATATTAATTTAACAATTCATTGTTTTTTAAATAATTTATAATAATAAACTATTGTTAATAATTTTGATAAATAAAGATTCTAATATCGATCTATTAGGTAAGTGAAATATTGTTCTCTAAATTTGACTTAAATGTATCTGGTTGAAACTTTGTTTTGTTTAATTCAAATTAACTTAGCGGGCTCCTTATATTTTTTAAATAGTATAAACTTTCAATTAATAATATACAATAATGAGTTGGCTGTCACATGAAATAGTCCATATATTTTATTACAGATATTTATTTAATATCTTGATAAAGATACAGTATACTGTACCTTGATGGCTTGATAATAATAATAATAATACATAGTATTATTTAATAATTAAGCTATAGGAATTCCTCAAGAAAAAAAACAAACAAAAAGTTAATATTATTATTATAAAAAATGCAACATTTGATGAATGAATAATATATTTATAACTTTTATGTAATCTATAAATTATTTAGTACATAATATACAGCAATTAATATTATTTTAGCATTTTTCTATCGAATAGAACAGGACTAAGTTATATTTTCTTAATTATTATATTTCGGAATTTTATTTTGAAATACACAAGTTTCACATTCAGACTTGGAGGATAGAATCAACTCGGGTAAAAATTACAGTGAATAAGAATTTTTTAGCTGAAAGTATAAACCTTTAATTGTTTAAGTAGGTTCAGTGTAAATAAAATGGTGCATTCAAGGCGAAAATTGAGTTCGTTATGCAATGTAATATAAATTTGATTGAATCAAAAATCAAATATTGATCACTTGCGTATTATTAACCAATCCCGCTAGCGAATTTCATTTAACTTTTGGACAGATCGAGCAAGGTAACTTGATACAATTATTGGTTAATGAAGTTCGTGGATGAAATTGCACCGTGAATATCAATACAAATATATACATCAAGGGTCACTTTGTGCGCAAATGTTCAGTCTATCTAACGATAATCGGTAATGCCACTACCCTTGACCATTGCAATAAATGGATCCTCTATAGAAATAATGTCCGGCAGATGGTGGAAAAAGGATGAAACAATGAAAAGTTGAATTGTTCAAATGAAGATTTGGAGGTGTCAGCTGAATGAATAAAATGCAATAGTGTTTCTTTAAGGGAAATTAAACCGGAATTGATATTGATCACCGTTACTTTCACCAAAAGGGAAACCATCTCCAAATTGAAACCCACCACTGGCAAACCGCATAAAAACATTGTCGGTATAGAAAAATGGTTGACTTCCGCCGTTGGGGTCATTGGGATCTTCACCATTATCGTATTTAGCACGTAAATCTAATAATAATAAAAAAAAAGCTTTAGATCACGTAATATTTAATAATCAAGATAGGCAAATAAATTTGACGAATAGTTTACCGTCGTCGCTCAAAACTTCATATGCTTCGTTAATGGAACTCATTTTTGAATCTACTTGTTCTGGTGTTAAATCACCTCTATATTTATCAGGATGCCATTCTTGAGCCAATTTCCTATATGCCCGCTTGATATCTTTTTTATTAGCAGTCCTTGGAACGCCTAATATTTTATAGTAATCCTTCTTTTTGGACTGCTTCAATAATTTATCTACACGTTGGCGACCTTGTATCACTCGTTTGTCCTGACCTTGCGTTAATTCATGGGCTTTGGTATAGTCTTTCAAAGCAGCTTCATAATCCTCGATGATAACGTACGCCTCAGCTCGACTAATTAATGCCTCTACACTATTCTCATCCATATTCAATGTGTCACTGCACCATTTTATTGCCTTCTGACCATCCTTCAGCTTTATAGAGGAATCATATTAAAGATGCATTAATTGTAAATTGTAAAACGTTAAAGTAAACCATCCAAAAAATACCTACCTCTTGATATGATTTGCATGTCCAACCGTATAATTTTACCAATAATTCTTTTTTCTGAAGACCCTCCTTTATATTTTTGAGTTCATTCTCAACTTCTGGAACGAGCCCTTGCCCTTTATTGGAACCACCAAGTCCTAGCAATTTATTTATTGCTGTTTGCCATCCTTTTCCCTCAATGTCCAGACTAACTTTGTTGATCTTTTTCTCAATCTTTTTAATCAGTCTATGAAGATTTTTGCATAGTTTTTGTTCAGGATCATATCGCAGGCATTGCTTAAGATTATTACGTGCTTGTTCGGGGTTATAAAGCGAAAAGTAATTAAGACGGCAGAGGCGGATCAACATATTTGAATCATCAGGCTTTAGCTGAGAAGCGACACTAACGGAATAGTAAGACGCGATTAGCGTTTATTATAACAATAATAGACATATAAAAATAACTAATAATGCATACGATAAATCGCGTACAGCCTCTTCAATTTCTCCTTTTCCTAAATGACATTGGGCTCTAGTAAGTCTTAAACGCAGTGATCTTGATGAAATTTTTATAGCTTTGGAGATTTTTTCTATGCACGTATCATAGTCGTTTGTTTTTAAAGCTTCGTCGGCATTTTCTATCAACTTCTCGGCTGAGATAATTGATTTAAGCTTTATTGGAGAAACAAATTAAATATATTCCGATGCAAATGATAGAATTCATGTTTCGTGAGATGTAATTTGACACCGTACCGAGTTACCGGCCTCGACGTTTTCCTTTTTATTTAATATCCTTTGTAAATCTCCTTTGGCTTCATTCAGTGACCCTTCTTTCAAGAAATATTTGGCGCGTTGTAGTAATGCCTATTGTCAATAAATAAAAGGGTTGAAGAAAATAAGTTCAGAGTATTCATTAAACTTCATATAACCATGTAAGAGAACTTAAATACTATACTGGTTCAAAATCTGGATTTAATTTAAGAATCTTGGTGAAGTCTTGGACGGCAGCAGAACTTTGCTTCAACTGTATATATGTCGCAGCGCGTTTAAAAATGTAAAGATAATTTGTAGGGTCTTGACCTAAAGGTTAAAGTAAGTATGAGTTCAGGTTTAACCATTTATTCTTTTAAAAAGCACAGAGAATACTTACTAATGGCAGCATCGAAACTTTTCAAGGCTTCATCGTAATTTCCTTTCATAAAGTGCTCATCGCCCTCCTCAAAGTGTTGCTGTGTCGATTTTTCACCGAGGACAAGCGAGGTAAGGGAGAAAGCAAATGGTAGTAAAGCGAGGACGAAGGGACGTAATTTCATTGCCCTGTATTGTTGTTAGAACAAAACAAAAGTACGTGCGTAGTAAAATCAAAAAATGTGGTTATTAGTAATTGGTCAAATATATACTTTCTATTCGTTAATTGAATGTCACCCAAATATGGTAAGATTATAAATCGTACGTGCGTACAATAATGGTCAGAACTAGAGTTGGAACTGGAAAATAACTAATGCGACAAATGAAACCAGATTGAAATAAACAGAAATAGGAATTCAGCGCGATCTAAATCAGCAAAAATGACAAAGTATTTATGGTTTCGATCTTAAAAATTTTCTTAATCATCTTGAATTATGTGGCTTCAAACAAAACCTATTTACATACTTTGTTTCTAATTTTTATAATTTGAAATTTGAAATTGTGTATTAAAAAAAATTGAACTTTCATTTTTAATTGTATTTTAATAAATAACTGTTTTTCTTTTAGCAAGTCAAATTTTATTGATAAAATAGTATTCAAGGATATAATGATCAAAAGACTATATCGTGAACCTAATAAAACTAAATATAATTATCCCTTGACTATTGCTATCTTAATAAATGGAGAAACAGTATAAAGGTCCACTAATGTTAAATAAATTTCAAGTGTATATAAGAATTAAAAAGAAAAACGAAATAAAGAAAACGAAATTGTGTTTGAATCTGAGACGTGCGTATAATGGAATATATATAAATCTAAAACTTCTAAAAAGACTATTTATTATTTAAGACCTACAGTATATAAAATTATATGAGTTTCGATAGTAAAGAAGATTGAACTAATATCTTAAAAAGTTCTAAAATAAGAAAGAATATAGTGTTCATATTACGGAGTAATATTTCTAAATAATCACATTACTTTTATTATTTTAATAATATAAATTAGATGTTTTTTAAAAGTTTTATCAGTTAAAAATATATTATTTATTTCTTAATATTTTTTTTTAATTCTCATCAGGCTAACAGGACTTATCTTTATTATGAATTACTAAAAATAATTTATTGTAAACGATTTCACATATTAGCTCACCCATCATTGAAATTTTTTTCTCTAGATACAACTTAGGAGATGATATTTTGTCTCTTGTAATTTGAATTATCCTTTAATTATGAAGTTTAATACTTATAGATAATCACTGTAAATTATTTGTTTTTTAATTATTTTCTATACTTTTATTATGTATATAGTATTTTTCAATTGCATTATTTATAAACTTTTTTTTTTTTAATCTACAATTATATTATATTGACATATTTTTTACTTCAAAATTTATTAGAAATCTATAATAATTATAAATTTTTTACAATATAATTAAGTTATCATTATATATAAGTATTTTAGATTTGATTTTGAAAACAATAATATATTTCTCTAATTAAATTAAATTTATCTCTATCTATTAAGATTATTATCAATAATTTGTCACTATTAATTAATTCAAAAAATCATAAATAGCTAAGATTAAAAAAAAAATAACAAAATAAGAAAAATAAATTTAAGTTTTTTACAAATAAACGATTTTTTTTTTTTAACTTATAGTCAGGTTAGCATGACATATCTTTATTGTATATATACTAGATATTTACAAATTGTCGTGACTTTCACATATTGACTCACTCGTCATCAAAAAAACTATTTCTTTAAATGCAACCTAGGGAATGATATTTTACTTCTTTACTAATTTGAATAATTCTTCTAATTAATAAAATCATTGCCTACAGATCATTACTATAAATCATTCTAAGTTCTGTCTACAGTTAAAAACCAAACCATTTTATTTTATGACAAACCCAATTCTTAATAATCGCTGTATACTTCTTTCCTTCTATTTCTTTGATGTCCTTCAGGTTTGAATCCTCTGGAGGTAATGACAATTTTTTTGGTTCTGTTCAATCTGATTATCAGGTCTAGGCTTAGATCTCTTATTTCTTTTGTTCTTTTTTGTAATATTATGCTTATTTTCCTATTCTATAACTTTGACACAGCAAGTAGTCCAGATCTCTTTTTTAAAATTTGCTCTCATTTTTTGACAGAGTTTGTTAATTATACTCTATGTATTTGCTGATAGGATCTTGAGCTGCTCTTTGAGATACTTCTTCAAGGAGGTGGTCTTACTTTCTTCTATATATCCACAGATGGTATTGAAAAGGCCTTTGTCAGATTTCTGAATTTCTTCTAACCATTTGTCTATTCAGTCACTTATTTTAGATTGAACTTATTTTTTCTCTTTTATTTCTTTATCAATAAGTTTATTGATCTTTTTATTTGCCTTCCACTATAAGTTCTTCTGAGTTTTTTTAGTGACTGAGCATTTGAAAAAATATCCTAGTGTCTCTTCATAAAGTTCACATACTGAACAAGTAGTTATAATATACACATCTGATTTCCTCTTCTTAAGTATCTGTAGGACTAGAAGTTCATTATAAATTATGTTAATTAGGAAGTTTTTTTTTTTATTGGTTTTAAAAAAGATATCGAAGGTATTGATCAGATTAAACTGGTTCCAGAAGATTGGCCAGTTTATAATTTTATTATTTTGGATCCAAAGATCCTAGATCTGTTTTTGTATTGTTCAATTTAGTTCAATTTTTTTCTTATTGAATATTTTAATGAAGTTTTTGATACCAATTTCTATTGTGTATTCATCTCATGTTACTATCATGAGGACTCTTTTTAGCTTTGATAGCTGATACCAAGTTATTGGATTCTCCTGCCTAGCCTGTTTGGCAAGTAAGTCTACTTGATTATTGAATCTATTGATTCTGTGGATTTTAACCTTTAGGATTTCCAAATTCGGGTCTTTCTTCTTTACTAGGTTCTTGATCATATTTTAAAGTAGCCAGTTATTAATCTTTATCTTTCTTCTTATAGATATCCCTATTTGTGGGTAGATAGATTTTCATACTTTAACTATAGTATTACAATCAGTATAAATTGTAACTGTTATATTTCAGGGGACTGTATATAATGTAGTGAAAATAGCTAGTATTTGTGCCCTAGTTGCTGATAGTCATATGGATGCTCCTACTGAGAACTGTTTAACTATTTTGTCCTCCTCTATTATAATTCAAGCTAAACCTATTTTGACTTCACAATCTGTTATTCCTTTTTTATAAGAATCATCTGTATAGAATGTAAACTGATCAGCCATATTCCTTTTGTTATATCTCAAGATGCTCTTAAGTTCGTTTCTGTGTTCTTCTGTTGTATAGTTTTTTTTATTAGTGTAATATCCTAGTCTTCCACTTGAATTTCTACTTCGACTGGTTTGGGAGTTGATAGAACTATTGTTTGTTAAAATATATTTGTCTGCCAGTTTGTAGAGTTTCCTGGCAAAAGAATCTGCTTCTTTTTTCTTAGATTATTATATCGATTGAGCTGTGGGAGAAGGTGGATCTATGACTGGACTATTTCTAATAGCTGCTCTGTACTATCTGGTTGAAGATGAGTATTGTTACTAGTAGGATTATATACTAGCGAATATGGGGTAAATAGGTTTTGTTGTTTATGGTTGTTTTCTTTCTTCATGTATCTGTTGAAGTATTAGCCTGAACTGCTCATTAAATCTTTCTTCTATCTGGATTTGTTGGGAATACCTCAGTTTATATGTTGTAAACTGTCTATTCAAGCTTCTATAGAGAGTTTCATAAAAAATTTTGATTTACTGTAGTTTTTTTCCCTCACTTTTTTGTACCAGAAGAGAACCAGTCTCTTGTATCTACTATAGAGGATTTAAACTGCTCTCCATTTCTTAAGTGTCATTGTGATAATGTTGGTGGACTAGTTTAGAAATATGATCTTGTATTTTCATAGTGATAGAATGGATTTTTCATATTCTCTATCCTCTTGCAATATAGATTTGATTGATAAGATATCTCCTTGATAATTGAATAGATTTTTTCATCTCCAACTTTGAAAAGTGACTTGTATACTATTTGCCAAAGCCAGTGTCATAGTTGCCAAGTTTCTTTTCGTTAACTTGTAAAAGTTGATAGGATTGCTTAGAATATTACTTGGCTCTCAATATTTGATTTGACTTTGTTTCAGTCTGATTATAATAGCAATGCCAGAGGTCTCGTTGTTATTAAGCTAATAGAAAAGTGCATGTATGTGACTTTTTAGCTATATTTTCCAGATACTTTTTAAACTATATATTTCTTTGTTGTGAATACAACTGTTTGGGATTATTCCACAGACTAGAGCCTTGTTCTTGAATACTTTTCTAAACATAGTTGTGAAATCATTACATGTTTTCTCACTCAGATATGTATATTGTATTCTGTATTCTATTCTTGAAATCAAGACCCTATTGATAACATATTGAACATATTTTTCTGTCAATTTCTTCTTGATTATTGTCTGGACTACTATTCTGATTTCTGATTTTATAAGACTGATAGTGTCTTGATTTTTTTTTGTCTTGATCCTAACCAGATACCAAGAAATCTAGCCTAGTTCTCCTTGTTGATTTCATGGACTATAGTATTTTCTGTTTTAGTCTAAACAGTCCCGAAAACTTGTGAGTTTCGATTAATAGTAAGGAGAATTGACTTTTCTGCATTAATCTAAAAGTCATTTACTATATAAAACTTTTTTGCTTCTTCCAGAATCTTTTCCAGGTCTTTCTTGGATTTGGCAATCCAGGTCATGTTATCCATATAGGCAATTACTGCCTGCTTTAAGGAGAACTTCATCTTCTCTTCAGGTTTATTAAAGTTGGAAGACTATTCTTCTTCCATGGAATAATCCAGATTACTGTTATTTTGAATCTTGCATAACAGTAGATCATAGAAGATTCTCCATTATAATAGAGAAATCGTTTTTTCTTGGTCTATCCCATCTCCTGCCACTATTGGATTAGATAATCTATTGGGAAGAATAATACTACAGCTTCTATTTTTGAAGAGGTCTATTATAAGTTTCTTAATGGATATAGGAATTCAAATTCGATCTATAGCCTTTTCAAGCATGTATAGAAATATTGTGTCATATACCTTTGCAATGT